TAATAGAAACAAAAATTTTTTAATTTTTAATTTTTCTATGGCTTAATATCCACATATAGCATGGATATTTAGTGGGGAAAGACAAAGCTGTCATTCAGTCTTGTTTTTGTTTTGCCAATCCTGGGGCTTGAACTCAGGGCCTGGGTGCTGTTCCTCAGCTCTTTCACTTAAGGCTAGTGCTTTACCACTTGGAGCCACAGCACCACTTTGGGGTTTCTGGTGGTTAATTGGAGATAAAAGTCTCATGGACTTTCCTGCCTGGGCTGGCTTCAAACCACAACTCTCAGATCTTGGCCGCCTGATTAGCTAGATTACAGGTGTGAGCCACTGGCACCCAAGGTTTTACAGGATACTTTTTTTTTTTTTTTTTTGGTCAGCTGTGGGACTTGAACTCAGGGTCTGGGCACTGTCTCTGATCTCTTCTGCTCAAGGCTAGTGCTCTACCACGTTGAGCCACAGTGCTACTTCTGGTTTTGTGGTTGGTTAATTGGAGATAAGAGTCTCCTGGACTTGCCTGCTCAAGCTGGCATCGAACTGGGATCCTCAGATCTCAGCCTCCCGAATAGCTAGGATTCCAGGCGTGAGCCATGGCCTGGTGAGACTCTTTACTGTGTGTTAGGCACTGATACTACGACTACATGTGCTTATTTACATTGAAATTAATTAAAAGTAAATCAAGGTGAAAATGAGAAATTCAGTTCTTCAATTGTTCCGGCCATGGTTATTTCCGTCCTCACTGTAAATTCTGCTGGAGAGAAAGCTGTCCAGAGTCTATTGTACTTTAAACACTTGGGAAGGGAGAGAGGAGGTGACTCAGTGGCACATCTCTTCCTAGCACGTATGAGGTCCTGAGTTCAGTCCTGGGTTGGCACAAGATGTTGAAACATGGTGGCAACATGAGCATTGGAATTCTCTCCTTATGTGCTATGGATACTAGGCTTTGCTTTTGCATTGGGCCTTGGCTTGGGGTCTGCTCTGACCTCCGGATCCTCATGGACTGGTGTAAGGACTCTGGCCTCTCCCTCCCAGGTGATCCGTCAGCTGATGAAGAAGGAATTCACACTGGAGTTCTCCCGAGACAGGAAGTCCATGTCTGTCTATTGCTCCCCAGCCAAGTCTTCCCGAGCTGCTGTAGGCAACAAGATGTTCGTCAAGGTCAGCAATCAGAACATGCCTCCACCGCTTCCTCTTAATCCTAGACCCCTCTGTATGCCCACACCTCCCAGTGCACCCTGAAAGGCAGTAGGTGGTCCCTTCATGCTGTGCTGGTCTTCTAGGGTGCCCCCGAGGGTGTCATTGACCGCTGCAACTATGTGCGAGTCGGCACCACCCGGGTGCCGCTGACAGGCCCGGTGAAGGAGAAGATCATGGCCGTGATTAAGGAGTGGGGCACCGGCCGGGACACCCTGCGCTGCCTGGCCCTGGCCACCCGAGACACCCCCCCTAAGCGGGAGGAGATGATCCTGGATGACTCAGCCAGGTTCATGGAATACGAGGTGAGCACATGGAGCTTCCTCCTGTCCTGGAAGTTGGGAAGAGGCAGAGTCCCGATCGTCCCTGGCCAGCCTTCCACCACGCTTGTCATTTCCTACTCTATCATCCCAATGGCCACAGACAAGGGGCTGGTGGCTAGCTTCTCATGGAGTTGAGATCTGAGGATTGAGGTCTGTCGCTGGGGCAAGAAAGTCCATGAGAGTCTTTATCTCCAACTAACCAGCCAAAAAGCCAGAAGTGGAGATGTGACTCAAGTGGTAGAGCACCAGGTACACACACACACACACACACACACACACACACACACACACACACACAGAGACACTGTAGTACAGATCCCCCCAACAATCACAGGACATTGAGAAAGCCTTAGCAATCGGCAGGCCAGTCAATGCTACATCATTTTTATTTATCTGTGGTGCTGGGGAGGGAAGCCAGGGTTTTGTGTGGGCTCAGCTTGTGCTCTATCCCAGCCCTGTACAGGGCAGCAAACCTCCACTTCCCAACATCTCCCAGTCAGTCTCTCCCTGTGTGCTTATGTCCTGGCTCCTGTCCCAAACTCCTTGTGACCTGTCCTGGCCTGCTGTCTCCCCAGAATGACCTGACATTCGTGGGTGTGGTGGGCATGCTGGACCCACCCCGCAAAGAGGTCACAGGCTCTATTCAGCTGTGCCGGGATGCTGGGATCAGGGTTATCATGATCACCGGAGACAACAAGGGCACAGCCATTGCCATCTGCCGAAGAATTGGCATCTTTTCGGAGAGCGAGGAGGTGACAGATCGCGCCTACACTGGCCGTGAGTTTGACGACCTGCCCCTGGCTGAGCAGCGGGAAGCCTGCAGACGCGCCTGCTGCTTCGCCCGCGTGGAGCCCTCCCACAAGTCCAAGATCGTGGAGTATCTGCAGTCCTACGATGAGATCACAGCCATGGTGAGGGGTCACACAGAGTCCCAGGGCGGGGAGGTGTCTGGTTGTCCACACGATGCTCCTGGAACACTGATGACATGAATGCAGGGAGCGGCCTGTGCATGTGTGTGTGTGCGCGTGCGTGTGTGTGTGTGGACAGGCCCTGAGCCCATCTCCTCCTCCAGACAGGGGACGGTGTCAATGATGCCCCTGCCCTGAAGAAGGCTGAGATTGGCATTGCTATGGGATCTGGCACTGCTGTGGCCAAGACAGCGTCTGAAATGGTGCTGGCCGACGACAACTTCTCCACCATCGTGGCGGCGGTGGAGGAAGGCCGGGCCATCTACAACAACATGAAGCAGTTCATCCGCTACCTCATCTCCTCCAACGTGGGCGAGGTGGTCTGGTGAGTAGCCCGGGGCTAAGTGGGGGTGACATGGGGACTTGGGGGGCCAGACTTGACGTGTGACCGCCTTTCTCCTGCAGTATCTTCCTCACAGCGGCCTTGGGGCTGCCCGAGGCTCTGATCCCTGTGCAGCTCTTGTGGGTGAACTTGGTGACTGATGGGCTCCCAGCCACTGCCCTGGGCTTCAACCCACCAGATCTGGACATCATGGACCGGCCCCCCCGGAGTCCCAAGGAGCCCCTCATCAGTGGCTGGCTCTTCTTCCGCTATATGGCCATTGGGGGTGAGCAGGAACCCCAACGTCCTTCCCAAGGCTTGGATCACCAACTGTCCTTCACCCAGCCGCCACCACCCTGATAGTGACTTCCCGCTTCTCCCCGTCACAGGCTATGTGGGTGCAGCCACGGTGGGCGCGGCTGCCTGGTGGTTCTTGTACGCAGAAGATGGGCCTCACGTCTCCTACAGCCAGCTGGTAGGAGGGGGCCGAGGGAAGGGCGGCAGGAAGGGCAGCAAAGAGGGATCTCAGGCCCCCGACTCTTGTCCCCGCAGACTCACTTCATGCAGTGTACCGAGGACAACCCGGACTTTGGCGGCCTGGACTGTGAGATCTTTGAGGCCCCCGAGCCCATGACCATGGCCTTGTCCGTGCTGGTCACCATTGAGATGTGCAACGCTCTCAACAGGTAGGCCTGCCCAGCTGCCCCTGAGCCCCCTGCCCTCAGCCTCAGCCTCCCTGCCTCCTCACTGTGCCTCTCTCCTGTCCACGCCTCCACACACAGCCTGTCTGAGAACCAGTCTCTGATGCGGATGCCGCCCTGGGTGAACATCTGGCTGCTCGGCTCTATCTGCCTGTCCATGTCTCTCCACTTCCTTATCCTCTATGTCGACCCGCTGCCGGTGAGTCATGGGGGGCCCGGCCTCGCGCTCTGGAGGCTCTGATGGGAAGGTGGAATGGAGGGGGGGGGAGCAGCAGGTGCTTCCTTTCCCCTCCTACGGGGATGCTGTCCGTCCTCACGGCGGTTGTCCCCCCCCCCCCCCCCGCAGATGATCTTCAAGCTCCGGGCCCTGGACTTGAATCAGTGGCTCATGGTCCTGAAGATCTCCCTTCCAGTCATTGGGCTGGATGAGCTCCTCAAGTTCATTGCTCGGAACTACCTGGAGGGTAAGGCCCGCCCCTGTGCTGACCCGGCAGCCCGGGCCCTCAGCCCCACTTTGCCCTTTGCGCCGCGAGCATGCGCGGGCGCGCGTCCTCTGTTTCAGGTGGTAAGTTCTTGGCCCTGGTGGGACCAGTGTCCCCAGGGAGGCGCAGCCCAGGCCCCCTCCCCACTCCGTTGCACCTGGGCGGGTCGCTGTCCAGGCCGCTGCCCCTTCGATAATGGCCTCTCTCTATCCTCTCTGGCCGTAGGATAACCACCCCTCCATGTCTTTGAACCGTGTCACAGGTATTGCCCCTTCCTGCCCGGCTGCTGCGCCCTGCCGCTCGCTCCCAGCCCGCGCGTCCCTGCGCTCGCTCGCGCTCTCCACGGCTCCCCCTAGAGCCGTGGCCGCTGCCCTGCGCTTCCACACAGCTGCGCAAAGCTGCCCTCAGCGTGGGCACCAGCATCTCTGGGTCCTGCCCACCCGCAGGCGCCATTACTGCTGCGCTGCGCTGCGTGCGCTGGCTGACACTGGGGGTCTCCGCTGCTGGAGCTGCGGTGGCTGGGGCGGGCTGGGGTCTGGGACACAAGTGAGTTCGGGAGGTGAGTGATCGCTGGGCCGTGCTGCTCCGGGAGTCAGCGCCTCTCCCTCCAGGCCCGTGGCTCCATCCCCGCCTTTCTCCTTTCAGATCCAGAAGATGAGAGAAGGAAGTAACCAGCCCTCCCGCCCCCCCCCCCAGTGTGACACCTCCCGCAGAGCGGTGGCACACCTTCCCCCACTTCTTCCCCCCACCCCCCCTGACCTCCCCCTGAAACTTGGAACCCCACCCCACCCCCACCCCGTGGGGCTTCAGGGGCAACTGACTGAGCTGCTTATTTATTGAAAATAAATGACAGAAAAAATTCTGGCCTCGCCTCTGCTCGCGCCTTGGGCCCGCGCCAGGCCCGCGGACAAGCGCCTTAGTGTCATGCAGTCCAGGGAGCGGCCGCCCATCGCAGGGCACGCGTGGAGGACCTGCTGATGCCGGAGGGCTGGCCGCCACCACGGGCTGGGCTGGCTGCAGGAGACATCTACCTAGACCCCCTGGCAGGGGCAGGGGGGGAAGGGCGAGCGGGCCCAGAAGGCGGCATGGCAGCCAGAAAGCCGCAGGCGTCAGCCTGCACCTTTGGTTCTGGGAGGGGGCTGGGCCTCACCCACGCGTCATCCCTGAGAGCAGAAGGGCCGGTCATCCTGGGAGGAGGTGCTGGGTGGTGCGCCTCCCCCCCTCCCCGCCCCCCAGGCCTAGAGAGGGTGGACTGCATCCTGAGCCCCACAGCCCAGACCCCGGGGGGGCTGGGAGGAGAAGGACAGGTCCTCCCTAGGGTGGGAGGGGACAGGGACCAGTGGCTTCTGGCCTGGCCCCTCAGGTGTCCTTGATGTCCCTGACATCCCTCAGAGGTGCCTCATCCATGATGCTTCGAACTTGCTCCAGCGTCTCCGCCTGGCGTATCCGCTCCAGGCGCACCTGCGGGTTGGGCAAGGAATGCAGGGCGTGGCTGCAGGGCCTATGGAAGGGCATTCTATGACTAAGATACATAAAAAAGCGCTTCCATATTTTTTTGAGCAATAGCTTGCGGGGAGAGACCAGCCTCAGAAGGAGGAAGAGCTATCCTGCAATGAGGGGTCTGCTCTTTTTTGGCGGGGAGGTTGGTCATGGGGAACTCTGGGCCTGGGCGCTGTCCCTCAGCTCTTCAGCTTAAGGCTAGCGCCTTACCGCTTGAGCCACAGCGCCACTTGCAGCTTTTTCTGTGGAGGAATCAAACCCAGGGCCTCATGCATGCCAGGCAAGCGCTCTACCACTGAGCCACCTGCCCAGCTCTGAGGGGATTGCTCATGGAAGACAGGGATGCGTCACCAGCACTGGGGTCACCAGCACGGGCACTGGGAGCCAGGGCAGTCTGATGGGAGGGGCCGGGCTGTACCTGGAGGGCCTGGGAGAGGCGCACAAAGTCCCTCTGCACTTGCTCACTGGTCTCCAGCTCTGCCTGCAGCCGCAGTGTCTTAGCCCTCTGCTCGGAGAGGAGGTCTGTGAGCTGGCCCTGCAGGGGCAGGAGGGTGAGCTGGAGCCTGGCTTACTTTGGGCTAGAAGGGAGGGTGACCAAGACAGTGAGAGCACCCACACTGCTGCCCTTGATACCACCCAACTCTATCTCCTCTGCCCAGCTGCGGCCTGGCCAGAAGGAAGAATTTCTGAAGGAGATGGGTGGGGCAGGGCACGGGCCCCGGAGGGTCATGTGTACATGGCTGCCCAGTCCCGTCTCATCCAGGGCCAGGAGCCGGGTTCAGCCTCACCTTGCCGTGCTCCTGCTGGAGCCGCTCCACCTCCGTCCTCAGGCTGCACAGGGAGGCTGGGAAGTCAGGCGAAGGAGCTGGAATCAGGCCCGTACCATCTCTTTCCCTACCGCAGCCCAGCCCAGGCAGGGTGCCAGCCACTACTCACCCTCCAGCACCTCTGCAGGAAGAAAGAGAATGGTCATGGCCGATTCTGCTGGGCTCCCAACCTGCGGCCTACACCCTGACCCAGGCAGACCCTGCAGAAGGTCGGGGACCCTCTTCCCTTGTCACCTCTTCCCTCACCTGCCTCCTCTCGCTGCACCCTCAGCTGCCCCTCCAGGCTGGCTTTGGCCACTGTCTCCTCCTCCAGCGCCTCCCGCAGTGTCACGATCTCGATGCGCAGGCGCTCAGCCTCATGCTCCTGTGCCTGCTGCCGGGCCCACGCCCCCTGCCGTGTGCACTGCACCAGCTGCTGCAGCTCCTGGGGGAACACGAGTGGCCAGCTGGGCACAGGGCAGAAGAAGAGGGAAGGGGCTACTGGCCATTGAGGATGGTTTGGAAGGAAGGAAGAACGTGGTTAGAAAAGTAAAAGGACCAGCTGGGCTCTAGGAGCGCACACCTGTAATTCTAGCTATTCAGGAGGCTGAGATCTGAGGATCGTGGTTCAAAGCCAGCCGGGGCGGGAAAGTCTATGAGAGTTTTATCTCCAATTAACCACCAGAAAAAAGGAAGGGGCGCTGTGGCTCAAAGCAGTAGAGCACTAGCCTTGAGCAGAAAAAAGCTCAGGGACAATGCCCAGGCCCTGACTTCAATCAAATGGAACAAAGGACAGATAAACACTGGTTCTGCGGTGGGAGTGAAGGGCCCAAGGGTCTGTGCCTCCTATCCAAGACTCAAGGAAGGGTGCTTTAAGAAAGTTCCAGAAAGTTTCAGAAAATCACCTTGATTAAGATTTCTTTAGAAAGCTCATGGGAGCCGGGCGCTGGTGGCTCACGCCTGTAATCCTAGCTACTCAGGAGGCTGAGATCTGAGGATCGCGGTTCAAAGCCAGCCCG